GAGTTGTACGCGGTAAAAGTTATAATTAGGTGAAAATGTTAGATTGGTATCAGTTTACGGTGAAATCGTATTTTAAAGTATACTAGATGTTCATAGTCCGTTCGTACATAAATTTTTTCACTCTCATAAATTAATTTGAATCTTAAATAGGAATAAATTGACTTTATTATTGACATTTATAGAAAATTTATAGCTATAATGCAGCGTTAACGACACGACGTGGGTGACAAGTCGGCATTTTATAGTCCACTATGGCAAAGAATGCAGTACTTTTGCCGTTGAGTGATACTCAACTACAATTTAGCATTATTTTATCTGCATTGCAGATTTAAAATATCAAGAGTTCAAATGTGCATTTGTAAAGTAATTCTAATCAGAGTATGAAATAATTACATATCTTCATTAACAATACTTTGTTTAATATTGTTTACTTTACTTCGGTTTTTCATTATTGCCTCAGTATATTATAATAAATTGTATGGCAATTTGTAAATCCATTATTCGATTAGTAAGCATGTTAAAAAAGTATAAAGGTAAACTTAGTATGTAACTTTGTGTCTATTATTTCTTATTGGATTACATTTTTCTGAAAGAAACTTTATAGTACCAACATTTATGAGTATATATTTGAAAGATAATTAAAGATACAATAACAGGTATCTATTCAACACAGGGAAGATCATCTTGCCTGATAATTCAGCATATCTAAAATGTTCAGGCTTCATACCAATACACCCACAAACTATATCTAAAAATATTAAATATAGACTATGCAAATTAATGTCAAAAGGCCAGTTTAATACTAAAAATAGTGATAAGTTGTAATAGATGCATAGAAATTAAAAGGTCAACTTAATAATGCTATGATCTCATACCACTTATGAATGAAAGATTTAATTAAGGATGATATCATACTGATATCAGATATATTTTCCATATATGTCATGTGTGATATAAAAATGAAGTTTAACAACAATAGATATGTACATATTTTTAGCAACAACAATTAATGTGTAGTACCCAATGCACTCCATTATGCAATCCAATGCATATTCTTATTTAATTCATTATAAAAAAATTGTTTTATAACTTTTTTATACCAATCAATTGGATTTAATTATGACTATTAATTAATCAACAAAGTTCTATTCACTAATTATTTTTACCTATTTTTTATAAATTTTAAATAATGTTTACAAATGTTTGCAAAAGTATATATATCTAATGAATGCATTAGGTTAATAACAATATAGTTTTTATTTTCCAAAACAAGAAAATATACTGTATCAAGAGTTGTAAAACATACAATACCAAGTATTGGGATACTCAATGTTTGGGACTGCTCAAAATGTTGCATTTCTAATTAAATTAAGGTGATTCTAAAAAAAACAAACCTACTTCACTCATCAGCAAGTCTTAGAAATGTAATTCTATATTTTAATTATAAGGTATATATCCAAATTTAAATTAAGTTTTGAAAACTGTTTTCATAATGTAAATACATTTACAAAATAATAATACATGCTATTCTTAAAAGAAACATTTCAAAACATGTTCATGAAAACGAAATATAACTAACCCAATAAAACAAGGCATCTATTTGGCCCTCTAATGTTAATGATTTCATATTTGTATACGAAGGGCTCATGCAAAAAGGGGGCAAAATATCGATTGTGTCACTCACCATAACAAGCCGGCAAAGTAGTTATTTTACATAGACTTAGTCCACTATTCACATAAATATTAATCAAATGCAAATTAAATGACACTTTTAATCACTGCACCATTTATAATATCAATAATTACATTCACAAAGAATTCACGTATTATTCACGTTCAAAACCTCCCTCGACACAATATTCATACAAGACGAAAATTACACACTATTCAATCCAAACACCAACCATAGACTAACCAAAGTCAGCTTCTATTTTATAAAAATTCCAATGGCGGATACCTAGCGGCACAGATGCAGACAGTAGAGATTAACGATGACATTCATATGTAGTGTTGCCATTTGAATGATTTAATTACCCTAAAAACATTAGACAACATCTAAAAAATACATAAATTATACGTCAAACTTAAAACATAATTTTTTGACATTGCATTTTTATTGCTGGGCTATAGGATACTAAATCTGATTTGGTCACACCTCAGTTACAGACCAGGCAAGATTGGTGGCAGGTGGTTCTAAAAAACCGGTCATTGTCTTAATGATTTTTCCTTTGCCAAACATTGGTACCCTTTTTGAATTGCCATCAGATTCGTTTAGGAGTGCCCATAAGTGTCCCTGTGGCTTTAAAGAAAGTAGCCTTGGTTACCATTACCTCCATTGCCGTGCAGGTCGTTTTTCTCAGCACGCCGTGCAATGACATCATACGCCGCTCTCTTGCCTACTTCAATATTCCTGCCATTTTGGGGCCAACGCATCGCATCGCAAGTGGTCGGGTGAGATGTCTTTAACCCCTTGGAGGATGGGACACGCTTAGGTATGGGATGCTACTTATGTGGACACCTTAGCCCCGTCTCACCTACCTCGGAAATTCTCAAAAGTTGGCGCGTCACTAGCTAAAATATAAGAGAATTTCCTCCAACTTTTTATTTTATTCCCTTGGGCAATGGGGTTCAAATGCACAGGCGCATAAGAAAGTAAAGATTAAGTTAACTGCCTGCATTAAAAGTACACTGCCACAGGGGAATTTATTTAAGTTTTTTTAGTTTTCTATTTATCCGTTATTAATAATACGTATGTTAACAATATTGTAAATACTCTATCGACTGTTTTACTGAATATGGTTTCTTAAAGTTTTTAACATAATGATAGTATTATTATTATTTAATTGTCTGAGTGTACATTAAAAAAAAAAATTATGAATCTCAGAGCGATGCGTATAAGGAATGCGCTAAAAGTTTAAATTTACCGATAAGTATAGCAAAACGATCCTAAAGCTGGTAACATTAAAGTCTGCTGCTCTATTGGGTTGTTCGTTTTTCAATTGACATAAGAACAATTGACAAGTGGCAAATAGATAGATAGTGCGTTGGACTTGTGAAATATTATATAAAGACTAACTAATACTAATATTATATTTGCTGATATTTAATTAGCAAATATAAGTTCTTTCATGCTTTTAAGGACTCTAATTACAAATATATGACTGTAGTGTCACGGTGAAGAGCTAGATGGCACTGTGCTTAAAAACTATTTTAAACCGTCTAAAAAAACAGGAAATGTTGTTTGTCAGATGTTTTTTTGAGTAATTTTTATGTTGTATTGTTTCCAGAGTACACGAATAGATTTTTTGTCGGATTTGATTGTTTAAATTAATGTTTTTATTCTTTATTAAACATATTTCATATTTCCAATCAAGTATACAGTACAATTTTCTTAACCATACAAAGTAATAATAAAAATTATTAAAAAGAAAATCAAAACAAATTTAAAAAGTTTGATCCCTGTGGCAGCGCACCTTTAACGCTGGCAGCATTTCCTTGCTGTATTGCGCTAGTTATTCGTTGAACGAGGAACTCTTGGGTTGCCAGTAGTTTAAATTATCTGTGATTCACAGTTAGTGTAACAAAATTAATAGTAACTGGTGTTCGGAAATTTTGTTCTTTTGTTTTGCAGATTTTGTCCAAAATTTATTTTCAAGTTTAGTAAGTTTAATTTGTCGCGGTTTTACTTCAAGGCGCACGGCTTTTGAAGCGACAGATTGACAGTTGTACGTGGAAGGATATTCAAAAAAATCTCCATAGTAAATGCTTCTTAAATTTGTATTAGATATTCCAACCTCTTCAGGTTTTTTTTTAAATCAATACTCATTTTACATCAACTTGTCTATATCTTAGACCCAACAACCGACTTTTGTCTATAAATAATGATCAAAGAAACATAGTCTCAGCCCAAACCCATGTACTTAGTTGTATTGTTGCTGGATGTTTTTGACTATGCAATATTTTCATTTTTCATTAATTTCTCAAAGGTAAGATATTTATATAGGAAAAAAGCAATTTTATTTATAAAACCCATTTATTTCGACGCTTTTTGACATAAATGTTAAAATACATTCCATACAGCTTAATAAATATTTAAAAGTAAAAATATAAAAATCTAAATCAATATAAAACATAAGTTACCACTTAACAATTAATTAATCTCAACCAAAAGTACAAAATATTTAAAATCGTGTCATAAACAAGCTCAATAAAAAAAT